TTGGCTCTAAACTTCAGTTTTTCTGAATATAAATACATTTCCTCTGCATGTCCAGGAACTAATTATTTGCGTACATTCTTGATTCATTCTTTAGGAGTAAATTCTTAGAAATGGCATTCCTAGATTATAGTTCTGCAGTCCCTTTAAGACTTTTGCTACAGATTGCCAATTTGGCTTTCCAGGAAGTTGATAGCAGTTTATATTCCCACCAGAGTATTGAAGAGACCTGCTTCCCTGAAACTTCTCTAATAGTGGTAGTTGTTTACAAGTTTATTTCTCTGAATTTGACACGAAGTAACAGTAAAAACTTTTGTTTTGAGTTTCTTAGATTACTAAGGAGGTTGAGTATTTTTCATGTTTATTAGCCTTCTTTGATGACTTGTCTCATCATATCCATGGCTCATTTTTGTCTTCTTTATTCATAAAGTCACATTATATAGAAGTACTAGTCTCTTTTCTATAAACCACTACAAATGCTTCCTCCTATTTTGCCTTGTTTATTTTAAAACTGCAGAAAATTAAGTTTTACTGTAACCATATATTTTAATATCTTAATAGAGAAATCCCATACCTTTTGGCTATGTATATACTTAAATTTAGAAACATTGGGCAGTGTGGTAAATATAAGTAGAAGTCTTATCATTGAATCCCAAAGCAGTCATAATATTCTGGCAAACTAATATTGTGTACTTCTTATGTAGACTTCTGCCAGAGCCTGCAATTTCTTCAGTAAAGTCTGGGGCAACCTAAAGGGCTTGGAAAATTGGCTCCACAAGAGTCAGCAACAAGAAGTTTCTGAAAAACCAAGTTACCAAAAGTGTAACAGCCATTCTACTACCAATTCTTACTCCATTGAAATTGAAAAGGTTGGAGATCTAGAGCTTCTTGATCAAGATGAGATGGAGCTTTCTGATTGGCTGGTGACTCCCCAGGAATCCCATAAGCTTGAGAAGCCTGAGAATGGCAGCTGTGAAACCAGTGAGAAGTTTAAGCTCTTGTTCCAGGTGTTCCAGGAGTCCTATAGTGTGAATGATTGGCTTGTCAAGCCTGATTCTTGTACCAATTGTCAGGGTAACCAGCTCAAAGGTGTGGAGATTGAGAACCTGGGCAATCTGAAGTGCCTGAATGACCACTTGGAGGCCAAGAAACCCTTGTCCACTCCCAGCATGATTACTGAGGATTGGCTTGTCCAGAATCATCAAGACCCATATAAAGTAGAGGAGGTCTGCAAAGCCAATGAGCCCTGTACAAGCTTTGCAGAGTGTGTGTGTGATGAAAATTGTGAGAAGGAAGCTCTGTGTAAATGGCTTCTGAAGAAAGAAGGAAAGGATAAAAATGGTATGCCTGTGGAACCAAAACCTGAACCTGAGAAACATAAAGATTCCCTGAATATGTGGCTCTGTCCATCCAGAAGAGAGGCAACAGAACAAGCTAAGGCACCAAAGGCAATGGCTTCTTCTAGAATTGCTGATTCCTTCCAAGTCATAAGGAACAGTCCCTTGTCAGAGTGGCTCCTTACCCCCTCATGCAAAGAAGGATGTCCCAAGGAAGTGCCTCTTAGAGAGGACAGAGCTGGCATACCAAAGCTTACAAGCCACTTGGCCACTTCCTGGTGTCCCTTTAACACAGCTGACTGGGTCTTGCCAGGAAAAAAGACAGGAAATCTTAGCCAGTTATCCTCAGGAGAAGACAAATGGCTACTTCGGAAGGCCAAGGTGAGCACAACACATTAAAATAGCACCTTTTGAAGTATATTTAATACATTTTTACTTTCTTAATCCCAAACCTTGCAAATGGGCCAGATCCTTAAATATCTTAACTATTAAATATGGCTTAAGTATTAATTTTGGTGCCATGTTAGCAACAGAATGGAGGATTTGATTATTCAAACTGAAATTTCTGTGCATTTTCTAGGCCCCAAATCCCCATCTGGCCTATTTCATTGCTACTTATGGAAAAGATTAGGAGTAGAGAAAATAGTTGTCCCCTTTGCTCATTATTAGAATGCCCAACATTTACATCATTCTTTATAGACACTACACTATTTGAAGATGAATTGTTGGTCTCACGCCTCCCAGTTGTCATGTAGCAATCCACCTTTTGTCTTCTTGCAGGAAGTATTACTTAATTCGCCCCTACAGGAGGAACACAGCTTTCCCCCAGACCGTTACGGCCTCCCAGCAGTTTGTGATCTCTTTGCCTGTATGCAGCTTAAAGTTGATAAAGAAAAATGGTTGTATCGAACTCCTCTACAGGTGGGTACATGCCACTAGTGCAAATATTAGTTTTAGCTGCTCAAAGATATTTTGCCTTATATATGAATTCATACTTTGCCCACTGAACTGTATTCCTATTAATGGTTTCTATATTAGGTGAGGTGGGGAAAAGATCATAAAAATTTCATGTATTTCACTTGAACTTGCTCCATGAAGTAACGAGGACATACTTGAAAGTGACCTTTCAAGATGATGTAGCTGTTGGGGGAATTTTTGGAGCCCGTGTGGATTCTAGTAGCTTATTGAGAAGTGAGAGCTTCAGGGTGGGAAACTTGCTTTTTATCCTGCAGTGAAGTGACTTTTTATCTATGGGCTTTTCTTTACAGATGTGAAGGAATGGAGTACTGGAGTCAAGCAAATTTTCTGCAGATTAGCACAAATCCATGAGCTGAGTAACTGCGGCTTGCCAAATCATTGCGTTTCTGGGTCTGATGTAGTTCCTTTTCTGCCTAATTTTGAACTAGTGAAGAGAAATAATCAAATTATGAGTTACTGTGTAAAAGAAAAAGGCTGTTTGTTGATGTTGAGGTGATTCAGTTCCTTCTTACAGAAGTATTAATTCACCCCTACACTAGAAACACAGCATCATAGTGGGTAGGTCTTTTTCATAAGCCTCCACGGCTCCTTAGTTTGGGTTGTTATTAGAAGTACATTAAAGCACTGTAGTTTTAAAAATGAAATAGTTTTATAATCAAGGTGTGTTGATGTATTCTGAAACTAGTAAACTTACTTTTTTTTTTTTTTTAACCTAACCTTTTGATTGCCTTTGGATGCTTCCCCTTCTTGTGGGTTTTCTTCCATTAACGGTGAATTCTTCTGTTTAATTAATGTACAATATTATTTCACACAAATAATTAACCTTGCCAATATAGTGGTTTTTTTCTTACCAAAACAGTATTAACAATCTTGGCAATTTTTGACATTAATTACAAAACATTTTAGCTTACATGCCAGATTCTACATTATTTTTCTTTTTTTGAAACAAACTCAACTATTTCAAGTTTTATCTTTATTCCCTTCTCTAAACGTTATTATTGAAGTATCTAGACAGCTCTTTCAGAAGGGCTCCATATTGCTTGAAGACTATATTCAGGGTAATCCTAGCCTCTTTCAAAGTATTCTGAAGAACTACAGGCAGAAGAGCCCCAGTGCTGACTAATCAAAAAGCAAAAGGCAAGACATGCTGGAAATGTAGTACTTGAACTATTCACTATCCTAAGTGTTACTGGTGCATCCTGTGTAAATGTAAGCTGAACTGGACACCTGGTGCTTTTAACTAGGCATAAATTAAATGTCCTCTCACTGCAAGCATAGCATACCTATAGCTTATAATGCAGTGACATTTTAGTGAATAGGCCGTTTTGAACACTGTGCCTTGGGGTGTTTATTGAAGCTTTATGAAAAGTATTGATGTTTCCTTAGCATCCCTAAAGTTATGTCCATGCTTTAAAAAGTTTCTCTGTAGGAGAGAAATGGTATTTATACCATGTTTTAAAATTCTGTAAGATGAGACATCTTAGCTGCTTTCCAGGCTTTTACACTATTAAGCCACTCAACTTGCCTATGTGTTATTGGAAATACTTTTAAAGTTTGTGATGTGGTCATCTAGAAAGCCCTTTTGGGGAAACTTCACATTCCCAGTGTCATTGCCAACTTCATTAGAATTCTTGAACCACAGCTGAAACGAGCCTATTATTTTTTAGTTCTCCACTACCATTTAGAACTTTAAAACTAAAGGTGGTGGGTAAAAACTTAAGGAGCCTTTCCATTATCTTAGGTTGCAGGAAACCTTGTAGTTTTTGAGGTTTAACACATTGTGTATCCCTAAATTAACAATCACTGTGCTAATGAGTGTAAAACATTCTTTTGCATTGATGGATTTTGTGCCTCCCTCCATTAAAAGCATAACAGCCATATAGTTGTCCTGTGATTTGTAAAACACCTTGTCACAAAATTATATGAATGTGATATCCTTTGGTTAGGAGTACAGTTGAGAAACACTTGAACATAAAAACAGTGTTTTTATATTCACTTAAATTTATCAGTGTATTTTATGATTCTTGAATTAGCAAATAGGTTATTACTAACTTCCATTGTCTTTCTTGCACACTCTTCATATCTACTTTTAATTTTTAATCTGCTGTTGCAGGTAAGATATTAAACTGCTTTTTCTTTTTTTTTAAACTAGAGGACTTCAGCTGAAGTTCAGTGCTTTTCTGCCAAATTCCTTCTAACTAGATGCATTCAGAAAGGCCCTACTTTACTTTCTCTAATCAATCACAATAGCCACCAGTTGTTTAGTATTTCTTATGTATATCGTGCAGTGCAATCTTATTTAACTTCATTTCAAAGATGAGAAGACTAACTCAGAAATTAAATAACTTGTCCTTATTTTCTTTAGCTTGCTTTCCCAAGGCTTCCTAAAAACTTACAGCTTGTGTCTATATCATCTCTTTTTCGAATTATCCCCAGTAAGATGAGTTAACGCGTACAGAATCACGACTGTTGCACAGATTGTTCTAGCACAGTACACTAATGGTATAATGGTTAATCTGAAATATCTTGAGGTTGGGTAGTGTCAACTCTATTGGAGAAAAATTTTAACCTAGTTGCTAATGCTGCCAGTAGCCCTTCATTTCAACACAAACATGAAAACATGTTTTAGCCTAGTGGGGCATAAACAAATGCCAAGAGTAACTTCGGAGACACCCACTATGTTTTATGTTGGAGTTATGACTTTGGTTCTGTTTTTACCCTTTATTGGGAATACAGGGCAGTATTACAGTCTTGGATTATTAAATGAATAAATGTGGTGATACAGCATTGACAAGCATGACCTGAATTCTGGGAGTAAGTGGTTTTCCAGTTCAGGGGGTAGGAGAAAAAACAGGTGCAAGATCTTCTTTAAAGGAGAAGAGAGCCACATTACTCAGCCACCAAAGGGTTTTGGCTTCAACTCATTAATGGCTGGAAGGAGTGCCAGTCCTGGTCAACCATCCATGATCTTCATCACAGCAAACTGGAAATCTCCTTTTTCAAACTAGTTGCAGGTAAAAGAGTAAATGACTCCAGACTGACATAAATTGATCTGGATGACTACTAAAGTGTCCTCCATTCACCAGCTAGTAATCTTCAGAGAGACTGTTGGAGCAAGGAGCCTCTCATGTGCTCCCAGTTGTTATATAGCGCGTAGAGGCCCGTAAGGGTTAGTCCTGCCAGGCCGCCTCGTGCCACCCCTCGAAGACCACCTGCAGAGGAAAAACAAGAAAGTAACAGCCTTGTATTGCATACTGTCCTAGCATCACAGGGTTAACTAAGAGTTTCCTAAAGCTGAGACACACTGTTCATGTATATGCAGATTCCATCCCAAACAGAATAAGCTGTAAAAGTAATAAAAGAAACCAAGACTGAAGTTCAGGAGAGAGAGATTCCCTACATCAGTTGTTTAATACATAAGCTATACCTTCATATTCACAACGTTTTTTTCCACTTTTAATTTCACAATTTGTATCTAAGATCATCAGCATAACTTCTTGACTTTTCTCAATCTGACTTGATCCTAGAACACTTCTGGACAAGATCTTATGCTTATCATTGAAGTCACAGCCAGATCAGTAATTAATTCCCTGCTAGTCATATAATTTAGAACTTGGGACTTCCCTGGTAGCACAGTGGTTAAGACTCCAAGCTCCCAATACAGGGGGCCCGGGTTCGATCCCTGGTCAAGGTACTAGATCCCACATGCATACTGCAACTAAGAAGCCGGTAAGCCATAAATAAGGAGCAGCCCGCTGGCCGTAACTAAGGAGCCTGCCTGCTGCAATGAAGACCTGGTGCAACCAAATTAATAATAAGAACTTAACTGACACTGTCAACTGATTTAAGGCTGTATGTAAACAGTGACACCCTCTTTGAAAAAGTATTAACAGCCTTTGGACTCTGCACAGGTCCTCTAAATATTAACTTTGAAGACTCAAGACAGAATGGTGGGTGATGGCTATAATCAAGCTTTGAGTTAGATGCTGATGAAGCACCAACTCCCCTGTTGCTTATTCCTACCCTGATGTGTCAGAAAATCTCAACTAAGGAGCAATGAGGCACTTAACATCATCATACTAGTTGAAAAACATTCAAGGATTAGACTTTGAACTGTTTCTGCTTAACAACAAAAGAATTTTTCATGTGGAAAAAGATTAGGAATAGATATTTCATTTGAAATGCAGAAACAAAAATGTTTCAGTCAGTTATCTGAAAATAGTCCCCAAGTCTAATAAGAGGAATGGGGGTACCCAAAGAAGCTTTTAAGAAATATTTGATGTTCTCTTACAGTTTCACAAATAAGTAGGAATCACAGACTTCAGGTGTAGCCTATATTGTATCTATGGAGTATTTGTTCCAAGTCACATGTTAGGAAGGCAAAGGTCCAGTGGTTATACCTTATTATAGGCCCTTTAGCTACAAGCCAGTAAATTCCGTGCAATTCATGACACTGCTGAGTTAGAATGCTTCAGACCAACCCTTTCTGCAATGAAAGTCTTGCCAGATGGCTTCAGATGATAAAGGGCCACTCCCTCTAGGAGGCTCTCTAGCCTGAAGACTTAAGATAGCTGACCTGTTTAAGCTTCAACTATGAAGTGCCCTAATTATCTCTCTTAAACAGACCCAAATAGAAACTGCAGGCATCATCTGTAAACAGCTGTCAAATATGTGGGAAGGAGGATCAGAAACATAAAAAAATTAAAGTAAATGGGAGATATCTCCTAGAAGTCTACATCATCTCTTTGTATCTTGCCACACAGACTACACATGACAGTTGAATTTGCAACTGTATTCAGTGTGGTTGAAAAATTAGAAAAATGATATAGGGGAGGTAATTGAAAGCACAATAATTTCGCAGACACCATTTCCTGGGACCATACATTCAACTTCAGACTAACTCCCCTGGACCTTTGGCCGATTACAAGTCCACAGGACTCTGAAGTCTGCCCACTGGTTTGGAATTGGCTGCAAGCTCTTACTTTCAGTTGGCCTTTTGCTTTGAGTGTCCTAGGAACATGGTTTCTACTTGGCCATTTTAGAAGGATCTTCACACTACTCATCTATCAGATAGCAAGCCTCCCTGGATATAGGTACTAGGGGTAATAATGAAATTGGGAACTATAAGGATTTAAGATTTTGGAGACATAAGTGGCACACTGTATCCTTTAAGAAAAACTTATCCCCTAGAAAGCCTTCTAATTTCTGACCAAAATAAAACAAACTTAGTTCAAATCAATTATGTTACTTCTCTGAAGACTAGAAAAAAGTTGTTTCTAGTAAGAAGACACCAAACATACGGAAGTGCTTGATTTACTAATAATCACAGTAACCCTGACTCAAGGGTAGCCTTTTATTACATGTTTTAGTTTTAATTCTTTGCATTAATTTCAGGGTTTTCCAGCTGGTTGATCTGTTAAAAGTTTGACAGCCTTGGCTTTAGGCTTTCTGTAATAAAACAACTTTTGCCCAATAAACACAGGAAGTCGATTAGCAAATAAACTTGCTTTGAACACAGAGTAACCAAATGAGGCCAATGGTTAATCTCTATAAAGCAGAACAAACATGAGACTTGTGTGTCACAGTTTTATCTTCTGTCTTTTGGATACTTATACAACTCTTCCAGAAAGGGCAAATATCACCTCTTCTAAACCTGGGAAAATGAGGCCCAGAATATTTAAACGCCTGGTTTATGGGGTATAGCGCTGATCACTGGCAGAGCTGACACACTGAACTGAAAATTATTTTAGCACAAGGGTCAGCACATTTATCTTGAAACGACCAGAAAGTAAATATTTTAGGCTTTGAGAGTGCAAAGGCTACGTAGGTACTTATATAACCATTAAAAATGTTTACTGTTTAAAAATGTAAAATACATTCAGTGAAGAGACAGGTGTCTGGCCAGCAGGAGTCTGTGGCCCTTGCTTTAGACAAACAGCCTTACATACACAGAGATGGCTACAAACTCCATTCAACAAATGTTTGTACTACTTAAATTTTTTTGTTAAAACTATTCTTTAAAACTGTGATAAAATACACATAAAATTTACCATTATTAAGTGTACAGCTCAGTAGCATTAAGTACATTGGCGTTGGGCTACCATCATCCATCTCCAGAGAACTTTTTTCATCTTACAAAACAAAAACTCTGTGCCCATTAAACAACAATTCCCTCCTCCCCTTCCCAATCTAATGCCTAATTTAATTTTTATTATGTTGATATATCTTTGCTCACTTTAATTTTTATTTTTATCAAAGTAGTCCATATAGATAATTTTAGAAGTCAAGATAGTACCAAAAGATTTTAGTGATGCACAACAGTCTGGGGTCCTCATCGTTCTTACCCTAATTCCCAGTTCCCAAAAGCAACTACTTTAATTCTTCACTTTTTACCTGCATATTTCTAAAGAACATCTTTATCTTGCTATTTCTTGATATTTCAATCCTAGATATTGTCTATTGACTTCCTACTAGGAAAACTGTGTCAAGTCTCGTAAGAATTGTACAAAATATGCTTATGGCAGAAAGGTTTATTGTTATCTCATTTACAACTCTCTGAAGGCAACAGTCACCCTTGTTTTATAGACAAACTCAAATTCAGACAAGTTACTCTCCTATTTACACATTTATTTAGGGATCCAGTGCTAGTCAAACTCAGTCTGACTCCAAAGCCCAGTTTTCTTCAGCATACCAAATTGCCTCCAGCATAGAGAAAGGAGATTATCAGGGAAATTTCTTGAAAGGGGTACTAACAATTGAGCTGGGCCTTAAGGATGGACTGGATTTCAAATTTATCTGTTTGATCATACGACATGCATGAGAAAGCTGTGGGGGAAAAGGCTGGGAAGATAGGTTAAGAATAGAACATGGAAGGCTAGGGTGAGAAGTTTGAATTAAGATAGGAAGTGTGTCATCATCACAGGCTCCTGGGTAGGGAGTATTAGAATTAGAACCTTCCTTGAGGAAGATTAAGCTAGAAATAGTAAGTAGGTAAGAGACTGGAGGTAGAAGTCTAATGTCAAAATGGTCAACGGAAAATACTGTTAGAGAAGTTCAGGGCTTGTGATAAGGGCCTCAACTCAGGTGATGGGTGTGGTAAACTTCGTAACTGATGGAATGAGGGGACAGAGTAAGAAAGGCAGAAATCAAAGGTGATTAGGCCTCCTTCCTGCTTCTTGTTTTTTCTTTCTTGGTTTTGTAACAGAGTGGAAGCAATAGGTGGGACTTTGAACTGCACTTCTGGGCTTTCCTGGGCTCCCGTACCACTGCCCCATCCAGTCCTTCCTTGCAATGCCAGCGCTTCCATGCAGGACAAAACTCACTAGAATATCCCAGCTGTTTTTGAGCCCCCACGTTACAGTGTCCTTTTAGGACTAGTCTTTCGGTGGCTGTTTTTCTGCAGGTGGTAGGGAGTGTCCCAGACCCCTTTGAGAACCTTGTGGAAATTTTAGAGGATTTAGAAACCCTGACTTAACATCTCCTGGTGTAAACTCTGTACTCAGGAGAAGGGTGAAAGTTTAACTCTCTGGAAGTTACAATAAACAATTTAAGGCTTGTAAGTAAATGGAAATGCTCTAGTACTTAGATGGTAAGAATTAAAGTCCAGGTAAGCCAAGTCTTTACACTGGCCTATGAAGTTCTATCATCTATATGATTTGGTCCCTTCCCACTTTTATCACTCCAGATTCTACTACTCTCCCATTGCCTTTTTTTTTTTGCTGTAAGTGGGCCTCTTACTGTTGTGGCCTCTGCCGTCGCGGAGCACAGGCTCCGGACGCGTAGGCTCAGCGGCCATGGCTCACGGGCCCAGCCGCTCCGCGGCATGTGGGATTTTCCCAGACCGGGACACGAACCCGTGTCCCCTGCATCGGCAGACGGACTTTCAACCACTGCACCACCAGGGAAGCCCTCCCATTGCCTTTTAACTCCCACTTCAGGGCTTTTGTTCTTGCTGTTACCTAAACTGCTCCCTCCAGACATCCACCTCACGCTCCCTCATCTATCCATCTTTGGTCAGATATCACCTTTTCCTTGAAGGGTGTCTTAAAACACCTTGGTACATACAGTTTTCCATGTATGCCTTTGTGTGCTGTGGGATAAATTGCTGAAAATTAGATGACTTAAGCAAAGGATCTACATATTTAAAATAGTAATAACTAACGCCAAATTGCTCTTCAAAGTACTTGCTTACCTTTGCCAATAAGCATCGTCTACCATCACTTTTTAAAAGCCAGGTTGTGAAAAATATTACCTTAATGTTTTATTTTGCTTTTCCCTGGTTGCTTGTGAGCAAACTTCAATTGTTCATTGGTCATTTGCCTTTCCTCCTGAAGGGCTTTGTCATATCCTTACTCCACTTTTTACTGGGTTGTTGGTTTAAGTGATTTGTTGACATGTTTTATACATTATGGCAGTTAGCTCTTTGGAAGAATGTTGATGCCAGTAATAGAAACAAAGAAGTCATCAAGAGGCTGTTTGTGGCATATGAAGTTTAATTTTGAAGGCCTGGCATTCATTGAGAAGTAGTACATTTTAACAATAACCCTGATAATTGCTTAATTTGAAGAACTGTATTTGTTTATCTTCTTACTTTTACTTAGCTTGCTTTTATAAGGTGACTTTCTCATGGAAGGCACAGGATTAACAGGTAAGGAATTTTCTGCGAGGGGGAAAGGGGCACCCATATTTTTTGGTTTCTGAGGTCTTGTTTCCTGAAGATAAGTGATCAGGTCTCTTCAACATTCCTAAACTTACACATAATAGCAAAACTACAGCTGTTCTCATTCCGGTAAAATACTGGTCGTTAGATTTTCACATGGCATAGGAAACTAATAATGACATTTCACATCCTCTGAAAAATATTTACAGAGTTCATTAAATAAAGCATTAGATCTGAAGTAAAACCACACCATCAGAATTATTCCTTTAGCCTCTTTTTGGTGTGACAACTACCCACCTTCTCATGTATTTTCCCTCATGGTTTTTCTTTCTACAAAAGTAGCTTCCATACCTAAATTGAATCATATTGCTTTCATTCTAAACCCCTTCCTTTAAAAAAAAAAGAAAAAAATTCCTATTCTAGAAGAGTAAACTGGGGATTGGAAAGATTTTAGGTCAACAGGAATTAACCATTCTCTAAATGTAAACTTCTTTCCTCAATGGTTTATGCTGATTCTACACTAAAGAGTGCCTAAACTCTTTTCCAAATCCTTGAATCTAGAAGTTTTACAAATATTCCTGCCACACAAAACTCATAATTCTGTGCTCTGTCTTAAGTAGAGTGTAAACCAGAAATCAATAAGACACTGATTTGCCTCTTTTAGAGCAATTTTGACGCGCTGAGTTAAATTGTTCAGCCAGGAACTACAAACCAATGTTGGAATTCTGGGTCAGCAGACTATTTACCTCTTCTACGTTCCCCAATTGCGGTGGAAACTGAAATGTACTTGTCACCTGACATAGAATTAATGAATATTCCTTTTTGCCCTTTTTCTTCTGAGCCAAGAGCCTACTCTTCCATATTTGATGTTGGAGGTGTCCCAGGTGGTGTTATAAATGCTACTCCCGCAAGGAAGTTCTGGACACAGAAAGCTAGGCTCTCCTTTTCTGGATAACACCAAGTATTCAGCCTTTCCCTTTTTATCTTTAAAATACATGTAATATGTCTTAAATGAGATAGTAATTCAGTACATTTTTATCCTCAGGACTGCCCTCAACACAAGAAATGCCGTAATGGCTTACCTTGAGCAAGAAAACGCGGATTGGTGGGAACTGAGCTGGAGCTTCAGTGCCATCCACTGGGGTAGCTGCTCCCCAACCTCAGCTCCAGCCATCTGCCACCACACATAACGTGAGCTTAGTGTCTTCCATTTGTTCAAAAGAAGCTAAAATTTCCAGACTTTTGTGTGAAATCTCCTGTGTTTTAAATTTTAATTTGATTTTTAATAAACATAGTTTGGGCCAACTAAACTCTTGATGGCTGAGTGCCACCCTTGTGGTGCCAATTAGGGTTTTCAATTCCTTTGTCTGATCCCAAAGATTTTCAATGTGGAAGTATTTTTAGGTTTTTAACAAGGTTCTTCTATGCCAAGGTAACACTTCCATGGACATAAAAGGTATTTACTGTCTTACTCTACCTGGGAGCTCTGTTGATGTGCGTAAGCACATGCAGAAAAGTATTGCGAGCTCTTAAGAAGAAAATTCCCAATGTGATCCATTTTCAAAATTAAAAAAGCCTCTTACTCTCAGTTATATCAGGAAATTTTGGATTTTACAATTCTGTTGAGACTTCTCTCATTTCTTTCCAGTAAAAATGAGGCCAAAATGCTACTTGATATTTGTGATAGAGGAATTACATAAAAACGAAATTACTCAGTTAATCAAGTGTCTAAAAGCAGAATAAAGCAATCAAACAAATAAAAGTAGTTTTCAGAGGCTTGAGTATAGAACATATGTAGTTTAGGCAATTTAAAACAGAAATGTGAGAAAAATCTGGGGCTGTCGCTAGTTATATGATCTTTTAAGAAAGATCATCTTAATACCGTCCGTGCTCATCTATAAAATTGGGGTGTGATGATTATCACTTCACAAAGTTTTAAATGAAACAAGTTATATTAACTGATTATTGCTGAGAGTGTAATCATAACTCAGTGAATGTTAATTTCTTTTCCATCTTAGAGGAGAATTTGATATTTGATCTTCATCCAGTTAATTTTGACTCAACTCTCAGGGTTTTGATTTTTTTTTTTTTCCCAAAACTGAATGGTATTTTGTCCACCCATGTTCATAACAGCATTATGCACAGTAGCCAAAGTGGAAGAAACACAAGTATCCATTGACAGATGAATGAATAAACAAAACGTGGGACATACGTACAATGGGGTATTATTCAGCCTTAAAAAGGAAGGAAATTCTAACATATGCTACAACATGGATAAACCTTGAGGACATTATGCTAAATGAAATAAGCCAGTCACAAAAAGAAAAATACTACATGATTCCACTTACGTGAGGTACCTAAAGTAGTCAAATTCAGAGAGATAGAAAGTAGAATGGTGGTTGCCAGGGGCTGTAGAAGGGGGAAATGCAGAGTTGTTGTTTAACGGGTACAGGGTCTCAGTTTTGCAAGATCAAGAAAAGTTCTGGAGATTAGCTGCACAACAATGTAAACATACTTAACATTACTGAACTGTACACTTAAATGGTTGGGATGGTCAATTTTATGTTATGTGTATTTTACAAAAAAAAAAAACCAAAATCCCAAACCACAAGATGGCAGAGAACATTATACTACAAAAAAAAAAAGTATAACGTTTCCTTTGAAACTACAGTATGGATAAAAAGCATACTTCAACTGTATTAAGAGACAGCTTCACGATTTAATAGTGCCTACCTGTACATTTATACAACATGCCTGTCATGGTTCCAGCTGCTACTGTGTTGAGGTCATCTTCTGCACCTCGTGTTTTTTCAATGATGACACCAAATGCACTATAGAGCAAAGCTATAGGGGAAATGGAACTGATCAGTAATAAAAAAGTAAACTGAAAGTCAGTGTGACAATTATATTTAGATAAATGTATTCTACAGACATATTATAAGTATTCACAGACATATAAACAATGATCACTGGAACACTATTTGTAATAAAAAAGGCCTAGCAACAAATAAAATGACCTTCAAGAGGGGACTGATCCAGGAAGACACTTTCTACATAATGGAATACTATGTACTCACTTAAAACGCAGGAAGAGCTCTATTCACTAATATGTAAAGCAGGCACATGTGTGTATGACTCTGGATATGCAAAGAAAATGTTTGGAGAGATTCAGAAGAAATTTATTAGCTATTTATGGAAAGTACTACTGGGGAGTCCCAGGAAGAATATCTTTAATTTTCACTTCCATTTTATTCATAACAGCTGTACTTTGGGTTTAGAAACAAAAACAAAACACATGCATTTCTATTCTAAGAAAAATATAACTTCCAGAAACATGAGATCTGGTTCCTGCACATGTAAAAACCCTAACACTAGCACTATTTAGTTTTAACAAGATCTTCCCCCAAACTACCATTCTCTTATGCCTATAAAGACTGATTAGCCATGAATGCATTAACCCTTCTCCTTACCCTTTCTCAAAATTATAGCCACATTTGACCCCTCAAAATTATACCAAACTCAGCCTTACAACTCCTCTGCTGTGATATTTTTATACTTCTATAAGGGCTCTTCTTCCCGTTTCAATTTATTTAACTGAAACTAAACTTGAGCAGAACATTGTGACCGGTCACATTACAAGGGAAACATACAGGGTGACTGGCCACCCCAGTCTGCCCAGAATTGAGGGTTTCCTGGAACAGTAAGTGCTACAACTGAGAAAGTCCTAGGGAGACCAGCACGACTGATTACTCTGGGCACACAGGTACAAAGGAGGGTGACTGTGCTTGGTGGAAGGGCACTGGGGTCATGGGCAGCATATGGAAGCAGACATTTACTATTACAGTGAGAAAATGTACTGCTTCCAAAGCCTATGACAAGGCTAGGATCTCACTCTGTTACACAGAGGCTTTTCCTATTTTTTTAACAAGATGCCTACATTTTCTCTTACTTAATCTGCCACAAGTAAAAGATTTTCAGACTTTCAAATAAAGTAAACTTTGGATTAGGGCATAAGTGCCATAAGTAGGCTTATTATAAGTCATGAGTAATCAAAAGAGTCAATCATTCATAAACATTACAGTATGAAAGCATTTGGTCCTAAGTACTACTAAATTATCCCTTCCTTAGAACTGCAAATGTTTTCAATGTCTACAAAGGCCCTATTACAATTCTGGCAATTAAGTCTGGGAAATCTAATTAGGTAAAGAGAATGATGAATGCTCTATTAGGAAAACTTATCAGGACAGCTGGATTAATCTACCATATCTTACTACAGGAACTTGAACCTCTCCTAACAAACAAAACCATTTGCCTTGAACCTAAATTATTTTAATTTCATTTAGTTAAAACATGATTTTATTTGGTGTCTTGCTGAGACAGGAGAGTATGCAATGCTTAAAGCATTTAGAAATGAATGTATTTCACAATGGTATTCGCAGCTGGGATTCTTTTGTTATACAGTTTATGGTCTTCTCCTAAGTAGTATCTATACTACTCACCAGAGTGGATTTAAACATAATTTTTAACATCCCAGGACCAGGATTTTAGTTGATCAAATTGTTCATAATACATGTACATTCTTTCTTTGCAGTAATAATAATTTATTAAAAAGTGAGATATCTACTTACCCAGAGAACCTAGAGTATTAGCCCAAAGTGCCCCTTGCCTGGTCACCATATTCAAGATCCTACCAGGGCAGAAAGAGAAAGAATCTGTATTTAGAACCAGTATTCCTTTAGTATTTAGAAAAACCATAATAATAGCAATTTTAAATGTATAAACGCAATATACAAAGTTTTCTTAATTTTAAAACTTAACACCTCCTCAGAATTCAATTAGGATAGCTTTTACTTTATATAAATATTTATATTTATATATAAATATAAATGAAGATTAGATTAAAAACTCCAACATTTCTGGGCAACAAGTAAATTCTGATTATTAAATGTGTAAAACTATTAAATATATAAAAGGTTTGAATGATATCCGGGAATGTATTTTATAAAGTTTACAGAAACTGATCTATGTTAAAAAAAAAATGACATAACAGACAAACTAGCTTATAATTAAGTTTCTTATGTGTGTGGGGTAGTATGTATACTCAGAATGTTAAGTAGAATCAAAGTGTGGAATATCATGGAATATAAAGCAAACTTAAAGACAAATACTAAAAGGAAAAAGTCATCTAACTAGAATACATGAAGAAAGTGCACTCTGTGTCTGCTCCCAGACTAGAACTAAGCAGCCAAAGTGAATGCTTAGCACACTCTCAAGGAAGCACAGCACTGCCCTCATCCAGTGCCAGACGTCACCAGAACAGTGACGGAGGCAACTGGAGGAAGAAGACAGAACACTGCTCTCCCAGCAGTGTAACACTGTCACAGGAATGGTTCTGTCCTGACAGCTGACTACTGCTGGAGATTATAGAATTACAACAACAAACAGTAAAAGAACTCATTTAATTAAAGCACTCATTTAAATTAATGCTCAGTAATAACAAAAATCTGTATTACTTTTAAAGGATTATTTAAAAAATTAGTAATGATTACAGATATTATGTTACACATTTAATTAATCTAATTATGGTATATATTTACTAATATATTAAGTTTAGCACTTAATTGTTTTTCATTTATAACAAGCATCTAAAACTATTAATTTTCATTACTGTATTGCTGGTGGCACTGCAAATTGCCAAAGTCCTTTGGAATGTGATCGGGCAACACCACTTAACTGGGCCCTTACCTACTTCCCACTTTAACCATCTCTCAATAGATTAAAGGCAGAAAGTAAGGAAACTTACCCAAGATTCCAAAACAGTAAGCAATGAAACTGGGCTTTGAAACTACATAGATTTGTCTGGCCTGAAACCCAATTACCTTTCCATTTTTAAAATGTTGTCTCTCTATTTGAAAGATCAGAATGATTATACTAAAAAATGGTATGTAAGATTTTAAAAATCTGACTTCAGAAATGCAAACCAATTTGACTCTCCCCCAAAATTAGTAACTATGATGGTTTTAAGAAACAAAGGTTATCTTTTCTAAGAGACCTTCCACTTTCAAATTGGTGTTCAGTAATATGATGCTGGGGATTTGTTTCAAAATAATATGGAAGGGAAGAAGGAGGTGGGACATAACTGGTCCTGGTGCTGGTTGATGGTTGTTGAGCTTGGGTTATAGTTCATAGATGTTCACTGTACTACTTTGTCTACTTTTGTATAGATTCAAAATTATCCATAATACAAAAAGTAAAAAAAAATTGGAGTAAAGAACGAATATTAAGAATATAAATACAAAAATATTCAAGGATCTGAGCTTGTAAAGCAAGGGCAGTGATCCATACAGTAGTAGGAATATGAAAAACTTGACAGGCCTTCAGGTTTCCCAAGGTCCAATTCTAACACACTGCTGCCATCTGCTGGCTAAGAAACATATAAGGAAAATGGAGCTTAAAGGGTCCTAAAATAAAAACCACAAGCCACTGAAGAACACATACTGTGTGATTCCACTCATATGAAGCATAAAAACATGCAAAACGAAACAATATATTATTTAGGGAACAGTAACAGGAACTTCTCATGTTTATTCCTTAATCAGGGTGAAGATACATGTTATATACACTTTCTGACCTTAATTGCACTTTCCCTTCTTTGCAAACTTCAGTTTCCTAAGAGAACACTGTCTTACTCCTTTTGGAACCACCTCTAAGTTCTAGGGATTTCATTTAAATTTTCTGCACCTTTGCACTTAAGAAAAGGAGAGTGAAGTCAATGAGAAGCTCAAGTCAAATGTCGGCAGAGTTAGCAATTACTCTTATGTGCTTATTTCTTCACTTATCATGTCCTACGCTTATGCACATCCCTGAACTATCCAAATAATGTACTAGTAATTCAACAATTTGAAAAGCATGTTATATAGGCCTGCAAAATGGAACAGGTGTAGCTGAGAAGTTAGGTTAGGATAGCACCAGCTGACGGAGGGACACTGACTCAAAAATCACTCCTTCTAAAAGCTTAGACCCAGGACTTAATTCCTAAATTCCTTTTATTTTGAATAAGGGAAAAACAAAACAAAACAAAACACCGGAAAAAAAAAAAAAAAAACTGACCAAAAAGTATACCAATACTCTAAACAACCGTAATCTCAAGGTTGTGCTCATCAAGCCAACAAAGTAGAGATTAATATTCAAACATCACCACGTCATTACATGAGACTTACTGTACATTTCTTGGTTTGGACCAGGCCATGTTCTGGGTTTCCTTCAGTCCTAGCCGTAGACCATTCATTGCCCCAAACGCAGCCCCTGGCAAATCATAGTAACAATTCATTCAAATAATCAGCTATATATTAAAGAACAACTATATTTCTCATTCTTTTTCATTTTTATTTAACAATAAGAAAACTGTAAATAATGATTTTCAAAAAAACAACCCTGAAGGTGATATTTTAATTGCCTTTGCTTTTAAGCACCTCTGACTACTTGGATTGAGGATACTTAAAAAAACATATATAAATACCAACCTGTCATACAACATCCTCCAATGGTAAAGAAGGCCAGTTCAAATCTGCCCCGGGTTTTATTAGCTCCAGTTGGTAAAATAAACTCATCTGTATCCTACAAGGATAACAATGAAAACCAAGTTGAGCTCCCCTTAAGACACAGTACTTGGCAAAGTGTTTAATTTTTCAAAGGAGTTTTTCACATAATGTAAATCCGTATATTAACTAAAACTCAACTAAGTCAAACAAAAGTAAAACTTTCTGCAACAAAAGGAACATGTAAATCAAAATTAAATGAAATATACAACATATATAGTTATACTCATTAGTTCTTAGGAGAGATTCTTGCCCAGAACTTTACATCTTAATGTAAGTTTGATAGATTATAGGAAATTTGCCTTCATGATAAATTTGAAAGTTTAGGAAGGCCATCTCTAGAGAAAGGTAAACTGAATGCTATGAGAGATAACAGAATACCAGTCTGGAAGGAGAAAATAACTTTCACTCTGTAGCTACTATTTATCCAGAACCATTTTACTATATGTAAGACCAATGATCATAAAAAATGAGCAGAAACTATAAAAGTACAACAGTTTGGATCACTTACGCAAGGGCAAAAATCACCTCCTTAACTAGTTGTTTAAAGGGGATATATTCCTTTGATAATCTTAGAAAGCTTACTAGATCCACCTTCTAGTAAATGCATACACAAAATTTGGTATGAACCCCCTGAAGGTCAGCCAAGAATCCTAGGTTGAGAAGTGCTGCTGTAAGAGCACAATAGGATTGATTTCGCAGTACAATCCACTTTTTTATGATGAACAAATACATTTTTGCCAAGCTTTCCATACAAAAATGGTTAAAATGAGCCCCTGAAGGATAGCACACACCCTGAGCAAAAAACACTAACCAAAAAAAAAAAAAAAAAAAAACACTAACAAGTAAACATCCCTTTGGCAAATACTGACCTTTGGTAAATGCATTCCTGATTAGGAAAACTGTACCTCTGTACTGATTTTTGACTTCTGGCTTGTGCACACGTTCTTACCAAAAACTGTACAATAAACAAGCCCACGTGCTCTCATCACACAGAAATGGTCTGTTGGGCAATGAGAAGCAAACTCTAAAAACTTCAGTGTCTAACTATATTTATTATACATAGATCTGTAAATTCTGGGTGTTTCCTGACTTTTCAATTAATGACTTAGTTTTAAATTGTGCTTCCTGTTTGAGGTTTTTAGGAATGGTATATTTAATATGATGAGGTAAATAATTATCCTTCAATCCAGAAATGGATCACTAACTACACATAGAAAATATAAAAAAAGATGGTCATGATTAACATTAGTAAGTATTGATACAAGTGCATGTCATCACCGACTCATTCTTCAGCTAGTGAGTCAACCTTGCATTCCTGAGATATCCAACCACTACTCTTTGAAGCCTGATGTTGTAAACTGAGCTTTAAAAAAAACCTACTATTTGCAACTTTATCTGTGTTGAATCAGCAACTTCTCCAAACTGAAAAAACAAAACCCACAAAAACAACCAACCAAAACCCGAGGCTAATATAAACCTTAAAATGTATAAACCCCTAATTTCAAATGTTTGTATTCATGAGACCACTCTTATTTTCATAGACTTTTGAATAATAATAATCTGATCTAATTAAATAAACTCAGGTGGTACTTTTTTCCCCAAATGTAGATTTGGTTCAAGATTTCAGTAAAAAGATTCCCACTTTACACTTTCATTTACACTTAACTTAGTACTAATGACCTCTTATAACTTTGTAACTACTCACTCCAATATTTTTTATTGGGGTGCTTTTAAAGTTAATTACTTGTTGCTTTTATTTATGTATTTTTTAAAAATTTTATTTATTTATTGGCTGCATTGGGTCTTCGTTGCTGCGTTGCTGCGCGCAGGCTTTCTCTAGTTGTTGTGAGTGGGGTCTACTCTTCACTGCAGTGCGTGGGCTTCTCACTACGGTGGCTTCTCTTGTTGCGGAGCACAGGCTCTAGGTGCATGGGCTTCAGAGTTGTGGCTCGCAGGCACTGGAGTGCAAGCTCAGCAGCAGTGGCGCACGGGCTTGGTTGCACTGCGGCAGGTAGGATCTTCCTGGACCAGGGCTTGAACCCATACCCCCTGCATTGGCAGGCGGATTCTCAACCACTGCACCACCAGGGAAGCCCTACTTGTTGCTTTTAGATATAAATCTTTAATTTGTGCTCTGATCACTGCTCCTTCTGATCACAGAAGTGTGTACAAAGAAGCAGGCAGCCATTGTTGTTGTACCCTCACCACCCCCACTTATTCCAGGGGCTTTAAAGAAGAGCTGGGAGCTGGTCTCCTTGCTGCTTCCCCGTTCGTGAACTAGACATTAAAGACTAGAACATTCAAAAGCAATTGCATAAAAAGGAAAAATTAGAAAGTGACAACACACACCCAGGAAAAAGTTTACGCTCAGAAAAGAACTGAGAAGAGCTTAAGTTTACATTTCAGGCTGGTCCTTGGCACATAGGGAGACTGTAATAATAGTAATAATAATAAAAACCAATAACCAAATAAAAGCAAACCTTGGGGAAGGGGGGAGAATCTGATTTCCAGAGTTAACCACATTATTAGAGTCAAACGTCCAGTTTTCAATAACAAAAAATCACAAGGCATACAAAGAAATAGGAAAGCATGGTCCATTCAAAGGAAAAAAAATAAATCAACAGAAATGTCCCTAAAAAACACCTGATAATAGGTCTACTAGGCAAAGACTTTAAAGTGTCATAAAGATGCTCAAAGAACTAAAGGAAATGTGGAGAAAGTCAAAACAATGTATGAACAAAATGGAAACAAAGAAATAGAAAACGTAGAAAGAAACCAAAAAGAAATTCTGAAGCTGAAAGAACAATAGCTGGAAAATTCACTAAAGGGATTCAAAGGCAGATTCGAACGGGCAGAAGAAAGAATCACTGAACTTGAATACAGAATAGAAATTATTCAGTCTTAGGAAATGGAGAAAAAATGATTGAACAGAAGTGAACAGAGCCTGAGGGATCTGTGGGATACCACAAAGCAGACTAACATACAGACCATGAGTTACAGAAGGAGAGAAAGAGAATGTTTGAAGAAACAATGGCTGAAAACTTCCCAAATTTGATAAAAGAGATGCATATGAACATTCAAGAAGCTCAATAAACACCAAGTAAGATACATTCAAAGACACCCATACTGAAACATGTTAAAATCAAACTTTCGAAAGCTAAAGACAAAGAGAGAATCTTGAAAGCAGCAAGAGAAGCAACTTATCACATACAAGGATCCTCAATAAGATTAACAGCCGATTTCTCAAGAGAAACTTTGGAGGCCACTAGACAGTGCGCTGATATATTTAAAGTGCTAGAAGAAAAAACTGTCCACCAAGAACCCCATATTCAGCAAAACTGTTCTTCAAAGTGAAGGAGGTATTAAGAAATTCCCAGATAAATAAAAGCTGAGAGAGTTCATGACCACTAGACCTGCCATGCAAGATATGATCAAGGGACTCCTAGAAAGTAAAATGAAAGGACAATAGACAGTAACTCAAAGTCTTATAAAGGGATAAAGATATCAATAAAGGCAAATACATGGACAATTATAAAAGTATTACTGTAACTTACGCTTTTGACTCCACGTTTGTTTTCTACATAAAGTTTAAAGCATTTAGAAGAATTATTAGATTATGTTTTTGACCACATGATGTATAAAGATATAATTTTGTGACATCAACAATTGAGAGGGGCAGGGACAGCTGGTAAAGGAGCAGCATTTTTGTATGTTACTGAAGTTAAACTGGTATAAATTCAAATTAGTGTTATAACTTTAGAATACATTTTAAAAAAAGGTTATAAGAAAGGAATTTAAACAATTTCCTACAAAAAAATCAAATAAACACAAAAGAAGATATTAATGCAGGAAGGGAGGGACAAAAAAGCTAAAAGCTTATAGAAAATGAATAGCAAAATGCCAGAAATCTCTCCTTATCAGTAAACACTTTAAATATAAATGGATTCAACTCTCTAGGCCAAAAGACAGATATTAGCACAATGGACTAAAAAACATGATCCATTTATATGCTGTCTACAACAGATTCACTTTACAGCCAAAGACACAAAAAGACTGAAAGTGAAAGTATGGAAAAAGATATTCCACACAAATAATAACCAAAAAAGAGCAGGGTGGCTATACTAACATCAGAAAATATAGACTTTACAGCAAAAAAGGTTACAAGAGACAATGAAGGACATTATATCAATAAAAGTATCAACATAGCAAGAAAATATAACAATTATAAACATTTACTTAACTAATAACAGACCATCAAAATATATTAGGCAAAAGTGATGGAATTAAAGGGAAGAATAGAAAGTTCTACAGTAACAGTTGGTGATTTCAAAATTCCACTCTCAATAATGAATAGTAACTGTTATAACCAGACAGAAAATAAGGAAATAGAGGAGTTAACACATTAAGTCAACTAGATCTAACAGACAAATGCAAAACACTGTACCCAACAATGTACACATTTTTCTCAAGTGCACATAAGTCATTTTTTAGGATAGACCATATGTTAACCACAAGTTAAGTCTCAATAGATTTTAAAAGACACCATACGAAGCACCTTTTCCAGCCACAATGGGATGAGTTAGAAATCAATAACAGAAGTAAAACTGGAAAATTCACAAATTCGTGGAAATTAAAAAAAACACCTCCTTAAACAATCCATGGATCAAGGAAGTAATCACAAGGGAAATTAGAAAATACTTAAGAGATGAGCAAAAAAGAAACACAACATACCAAAACTTGTGAAACTCAGTGAAAGTGGTGCTAAGGGGGACATTTATAGCTATAAATGCCCACATTAAAAAATAAGAAAGATCTCAAATCAAAAATCTAACTTTACAACTTAAGGAACTAGAAAAAGAAGAAACTAAACCCAAAGCTAGCAGAAGAAAGGACATATTAAAGATTCGATCAGGGATAAATGAAATAAATTACTAGAATCATAAATGAAAGTGAGGACATCACTACTGATTCTACAGAATTAAAAAGGATTATAAGAAAATGTTATTAACAACTGTATGCCAACAAACTGGATGCCCTTGATGAAATGTACAAATTCCTAGAAACACAAAACTCACCAAGAAACAGAAAATCAGAAGAGACCCATACAGTAAGGAGACGGAATCACTTATAAAAAAACTCACAACAAAGAAAAAGCCCAAAAGACCAAAAGCCCTGGATCTGATGGCTTCACTGGTAAATTTTACCAAACATTTAAAGAACTAACACTGGGCTTCCCTGGTGGCGCAGTGGTTGAGAGTCTGCCTGCTGATGCAGGGGTCACGGGTTCGTGCCCCGGTCCGGGAAGATCCCACATGCCGCGGAGTGGCTGGGCCCATGAGCCATGGCCACTGAGCCTGAAAGAACTAACACCAATCTGGGGGTTCCCTGGTGGCCCAGTGCTTAGGATTCTGGGCATTCACTGCCATGGCCCGGTTCAATCCCTAGTCAGGGAACTGAGATCCCAAAAGCTGTGTAGCAGCGCAGCCAAAAAAAAAAAAAAAAGGACTAACACCAATTCTTCTCAAACTTTTCCAAAAAACTGAAGTGCAGGGAATACTTGGAACACTCCATAACTCTTTGTATGAGGCCAGCATTATCATACTGAAGCCAGGCAAAGACACTACAAGAAAAGAAAACTACAGACCAATACCCCTTATGATCACTGATGCAAAATCTTCAACAAAATTCTAGGAAACCAAATCCCACAGCATATTAAAAGGGTCATACATCATGACCAAGTGGGATTTATTCCTGGGATGCAGGATGTTCCAACAAATGAAAACTGATCAATGTAACAGATCATATTAACAGAATGAAAGGAAAAAACCCCACATGATCACCTCAATTGATGCAGAAATAGTATGACAAAATCCAACATACTTTCACTGATAAAAAACACTCAACAAACTAGGAACAGAAGGAAACTACCTCAACATAATAAAAGCCATATATGAAAAATCCAAAGCAATTACCATACCCAAAGATGAAAGACTGAAAGCTTTTCCTCTAAGATCAGGAACAAGGCAAAGGATGCCCGTTTTTTTTTGCCACTTCTATTCAACACAGTATTAGACGTTCTAGTTGGAGCAATTAGGCAAGAAATAAAAGGCATCCAAACTAGAAAGAAGTAAAATTTTCTTTTTTCACAGATAATCTTATATGTAGAAAATCCTAAAGACTGCACCAAAAAAACCCTGTTACAACTAATAAGTGAATTCAGCAGAGTAGCAGGATACAAAGTCAATGCAAAAAATCAGATGCACGTCTACAAACTAACAACGAACAATCTGAAAAGGAAATGATGAAAACAATTCCACTTACAATAGAATCAAAAAGAATAAAATACTTAGGAATTAATTTAACCAGGGAGGTAAAAGTCTTTTACAAGAAAACTACAAAACTTGCTGGAAGTAACTTAAAAAGACATAAAGAAATGAAAACATTTCCCATATTCATGGATCAGAGACTTAATACTGTTATGATGTCAGTATTACCCAAAACAATCTACAGATTCAATACAATTCCTATCAAAATAGGAATTGACATTTTTGCAGAAATAGAAGAACCCATCTCAAAATTCATATGGAATTTCAACAAACCCCAAATAGCCAAAACAATCTTGAAAAAGAACAATTCTGGAGGACTCACACTTGCAAATTTCAAAACTTACCAAAGCTACAATAATCAAAACAGTGTGGTACTGGCATGTAGACCAATGAAATGGAAGAGAGAGCCCAGAAATAAACCCTTGTACATATGGTCAAACGATTTCTGGCAAGAATGCCAAGACCATTCCAAGGGGAAAAGACAGTCTTTTCAGCAAACAGTACTGTGAAAACTGGATATACACATGAAAAAGAGTGAAGCTGGACCTTTACCTAACACCATATACAAAAATTAACTCAAAATGGATCAAAGACGTAAACGTAAGACGTAGAACTATAAAACTCTTAGAAGAAAACACAGGGGAAAAGCTTTGCGACAATGGATTTGGCAATGATTTCTTGGATATGACACCAAAGGCAAAGGCAACAAAAGAAAAAATACAAATACTGGCCTTCATGAAAACTTAAAACTTTTGTGCACCAAAAGACAACATCAACAGAGTAAAAAGGCAACCCACAGAATGGGAGAAAATAACTGCAAATCATGTATCTGATAAGGGGTTAATAATTAGAATCTATAGAGAACTCCTAAAATTCAACAACAAAAAACCAAATGAACGGATTCAAAACTGGACAAAGGACTTGAATAGACATTTTTCCAAAGAAAATACACAAATGGCCAAGAAGCACATGAAAAGTTGCTCAACATGGCTAATCATTAGGGAAATGCGAATCAAAACTATAATGAGTTGCCACTTCACACTCATTAGAATAGCTATTACCAAAAAACCCCAGATAATAACAAGTGTTGGCGAGAACGTGAAGAAACTGGAACCCTTGTGCACTGTTGGTGGGAATGTAAAATAGTACAGCTGCCATGGAAAACAGTATGGCAGTTCCTCAAAAAATTAAAAATACAATTACCATATGATCCAGCAATTCTACTTTTGGATATATAATCAAAAGAATTGAAATGAGAGTCTAGAAGAGATATTTATACACCAAAGTTCATAGCAGCACTATTCACGATAGCTAAAACATGGAAGCAATCCAAGTGTCCACTGGACAGATGAATGGATAAGCAAAATGGAATATTATTCAATGGAATATTATCCAGCTTTAAAAACGACATTCTGACACACACTACAATACAGATGAGCCTTGATGACATTATGCTAAATGAACTAAACCAGTCACAGAAAAATAAATACTGTATGACTCCAGTTATTTGAGGTACTTAAGAGTATTCAAAAATCAGACAGAAAGCAGAAGGGTTGCCAGGAGCTGGGGGGAGGGTGGAGAAAGGAGTTATTGCTTAATGGGTGTAGAGTTTCAGTTTTACAAGATGAAAAGCATGGAGCTGGTAGGTGGTGATGCTACAATATTAGGAATGCATTAAATACCACTGAACTGTGCAGTTAAAGATAGTATATTTTGTTAGTGTATTTTATCACAACTTTAAAAAATGGAAAAAACCCACCAAACCCCAAAATCCTTTAATCAACTAGTATCAGGGGGCTTCCCTGGTGGCGCAGTGGTTGAGAATCTGCCTGCCAATGCAGGGGACACAGGTTCGAGCCCTGGTCTGGAAATATCCCACGTGCCGCGGAGCAACTGGGCCCGTGAGCCACAATTACTGAGCCTGCGCGTCTAGAGCCTGTGCTCCGCAACAAGAAGAGGCCACGATAGTGAGAGGCCCGCGCACCGCGATGAAGAGTGGCCCCCACTTGCCACAACTAGAGAAAGCCCTCGCACAAAAACGAAGACCCAACACAGCCATAAATAAATAATAAATAAATAAAAATTAAAAATTGCAAAAAAAAAAAAAAAAGAAAACTAGTATCAGGAAGAGATGCAAGCTAAATCCCCAGAGTCTGTGAGGGAAAAAAGGGTGAATGAAGACCAGAGACTTGGTGCCTCCAGATGCACATATCACAGATCAAGTCAACAGAGGTACTTGGGGTTATTTTTTTAAATGGTAAGATAAAGGACCAAATTAGTAAAATCATAAAAGGACTAGTCTTAATCTTACCTGCACGAGATACCGTGGATCCACATTTAAATAAGGAGACAGAGGGTTCATACCAGTTACTAGAGAGAAAACAAAGCATTATATTGCAATAAAATTTTAAAAAGTTATTTCATTTAGCATTAATTTTGCTCTTGTTTTGTGTGTTTTGCAATTTTGATGCACAGGCTCAATGAATGTGTATTTCTCTACCACTTTCTTGGTCTTATCCTTCCTGTCTGGCAGTTTAGGGGTTGCCTCTTCCTGGGGCCCTCAATCTTGCACTGGTGTCTCAGGATCGCATATCAACAAGATATTGGCAGTGACGTGGATCAAATAATCAAAGTAGCAGGAAGCATAGCCCAGATCAATAAAAAGCTAATTTCTTTCTACTTTACTACAAAAATGCTTGACAACTATACAGAATGCAAAATAAAACTGACCAGAGACCAATCAATTTTATGAGAAAAACATCGTTTGGGTTATGTGTTGTGTATAAATATTCTAAGGCAATTCCTTCAGATCTTAGTGTTGACAGTTGTTGACAGATTTGACTTACAGGGTAGAGAATTCTTAGGTCATCACCAGAAGGAAGGGGTCAGGGCAAAAGAAATGGGCACTCTCATAGGGCCAGACTTGAATTCTACTACCTTTGAAGATAGAAAAATCTATCAAGGAAAATCAACTTTCTCACATTTTAAATTTAATCTTTGGATCCTTTTGTATCTCAGCTGATTGTTCACAAACCTATCCACTACCCAGGACTCTGGTCTTCATCAATTCAAAGTCCTATTAATTCTATATCCAGTATCTATCCTGAATTGTGTTACTTACCATCTTTATTGCTACCACCCTAGGCCAACCACTAAATCTCACGTAGACTGTAGTAACTATCTCCTACCTAACCGGACTCCTTACTTGCTCTAGTCCTTCCAGTTCACTTTCTAAATGGCAATTAAAGTGATTTTCTTTTAAGAAAGGGAAATCAGCCTTAACGGCTTCCATTTACACCTGTAACCAAATCCAAACTCCTTACAAAAGGCTTACACAACACTACCTTAGCTGCCATTCCTTGCCCCTCTAATCTCATTATCTTCCACCAAACCAACTCCAAACCAATAGCTCTGTAGATACAATGACCTAACAGCTGATCCTCAAACACCTGCCTCCCCCCAGGCATTTGTACTGTCTTCGGGTCACAGCTCAAAGGGCAACACCCCTGAGTTGCTTCCCCTGGACCATTCTAAAATGGCTTCGGCTCGCATCACCATCTCAGGATCCTTTTATTGCCTTTACACACTTATCACTAACTGAAATATTTTTTACTCATGTTACTTGGCTCACTTCAACAGGATGTAAGCTCCATGAAAACAGCACTCATCTTTTAAAATTTAAATACTGTAGTCCTGCACCCAGAAAAGTCCACCTCAAGTACTCAGTGAATGGTGTTCACCCCTTGATTTCTTAATTTACCTTCAAATCTTAATTAACGTAACAATGCTTCTTCACATTAAGGCAGTGCCCTTTGTGCTCCAAAACTCAAAAGTCCTGAGACTAATATACAAACTACATACAATTATATCCTATAACTTATTACATACAAACTATGTTCTAGATTCAGTTTTTTTTAAACTAAATTTATCTATTATTTATTTTTGGACGCTCTTCGTTGGGTCTTCGTTGCTGCGCGCAAGCTTTCTCTAGTTGTGAAAAGGGGGGCTACTCTTTGCTGCGGTGTGCTGGCTTCTCATCGCGGTGGCTTCTCTTGTTGCGGAGCACGGGCTCGCAGGCTTCAGTAGTTGTGGCAGACGGATTCTCAACCACTGCCGACCAGGGAAGTCCTAGATGCAGTTCTGACACAGGTGACACTAGGAACTTTAAAGGGCGTTTTTGTTTTTGAGCATAAGAGACCTAAAGAAATAGTACAATGATTCTCAAATCAGTTTTATGAAGCGCTTATCCTTCACCAACTTCCCACTATCTTTAACTCCAAGTTCTGTTCATCCAGTTGAATACCACAGTCAGAAAGTTCCAAAGATCTGGAATACATATTCACACTACTTAGGAGAGGGCACAGGCAGGGTATTCGTGCTTCGGCACCCTAGATCTTGAATAATTTCCTTTCCTAAAATTCTTACCGGCTTCTTTCTTCATGCCTATAAAAGTTCTCTTCCAAGTTCCTCCAGTTGTCTCGAGACGTTATTTCTTTCTCTCCTGTATGCATTAGTATTGAGTGTCTTACCTTGACGGCTACTTCGTGGTTTAGAATGTGACTTTGTGCTAAAAAGTTATGTATGGGCTCGATACGTGGAATGCATTTACTTGCAAAACTGGGCGCTCTTCTGCACTTAGGGCCAAGCACACAGCCCAACAAACAAGGAATTTGTGGGAGGAACGCTAAGACACGAAGCTTGAATATAAAAGAAAACATGCAACATCTCCTGGGTCCAGGTCAAACACAGAGAGCTTCTCGGAATCCATGGTTCCAAACACTCGTTCAGTGCTAAAAGAGCGGCCGCGCAGACACACGAACCCCACCACTGCTACTGAAGCTTGTGACCGCCAGCAAAAAAAAAGGGAACAGGGCACATCGCATGTGTAGCGTGGCCGCAAGAACCAGTCAGAAATGTTCGCAAGCTAGGCCCGATACTTACGCGGGACTCCGGCCAAATCCGCGTGCGAGTAGCCTGCTCCACCGGCTCCGAAAAAGCCGGCCAACCCCCCTGTGGTTTTGTTGCCGCTTCCGCCGCCGCCCTCCATGGTGTCGCAGCAAACTGCCCGTCTACTTCTCCCCGCCGTCTCAGGCCGAGATCGCGTGCTCGGCCGTTTTTCCTCTGTAATAGTGGGGAGACCCGCGTTACCACCACCTCCTTCACAAGTTGACCTTCCGGGCGCCGGCGCCCGCTGACCCTCGCACTTCCGCTTTGCGACAGCGTACGTCCCGGAAGCCGGAAGTGCCTGACGGCAGCTTTCCGGTGGTGGGAAAGTGAACGAAGCTAGAATCAAAGCGGCGCATCTTGAGGAAGGTGGGGTGCCTGTGGAAGAGGGAAGGCAGGCGACTGGATAGGGTCTGGCTCGGGAGGCCGGCAGAGCAGCAGCTGCAGAAGCAGGCAGAGGCAGAGAGGGCATGGTGTCGGGAGGCGCCGAGAAGGAGGCGCAGTCCGTCCCTCCCAGGGTTAGTGAATGAGGCTCTCCGCCCGGGCTAGCCCGGGGACTGTGTGCTGCGGGTCCCAGCATGAGTGCGGGCCCCGGCTGTGAGCCCTGCACCAAGCGACCCCGCTGGGGCGCCGCTGCAACTTCTCCGCCGGCCGCCTCGGACGCCCGGAGCTTCCCCGGCAGGCAGAGGCGCGTCCTCGATCCCAAGGACGCTCCGGTGCAGTTCAGGGTCCCGCCGTCCTCGTCAGGCTGCGTCCCGGGGCGGGCGGGATCGCACAGAGGCAGCGCCACCTCGCTTGGTACGTGGGGAAATAAAGCTCTTTGTCCTTCGCCTCGGCCCAAACCTCTTCTTGGTTTCTGAGGAGCCAGGGACTCCAGCCCCCCCCCCCCCCGCCCCTTTTCTGGTCTTGTGTGCACCGCTCTGAACTCTGAGGTCCCCTTGCTGAGCCACCAAGGCTACTAGTTGGAGAATGGGGCAGGATTTTTCCCGTGGCGATTGGTGGTGTGAGAAACCCTGATGAGTAGTCACTCACAGGGAGGGAAGCGGTAGGATACTCCACTTGTTTGCTTTCTTCGGATTTGACTGAGAAATTGCCTTAGTCGTTAAGGAGGTTTAATTGTGTATGTGACGCTTCAGCCTCTAGATGGAAAGAAAGCTGCAAAGAAAATCACAGCTTATCTCAATTTACATTCTAAGTCCCTGGGTGCAGAGCTATTATTCTTAGCTTGCATTATGCTTGTTTCTGGTGTACAGTGTTGAACAAAAGTAACTTGGTCTCTGTCTTCAGACCCTAAAATCTGTCAGGAGAGATAGACAATTAGGGAAGTTAACATAATAAAGGGTAATGGGTGTTCCAAATCTTGAAGGAACAGAGCATTATGGTAGAAGTCAGGTGTACCTAATCCAGTTTGTGGGCTCAAAGATAATCTTCCAGCCAGAAGATAAGAACCTTATTCCGAGGACTGAAGAGTGATGAGTTAGCTAGATGAAGTTAATGAAGTGATCTCAAAGTGCAGCTGATTCATATTGTCAGCAGGGGAGCGTAGTGAGAGATGAGGTTGCAGAGAGGTAGGCAAAGATCAGATCATACTGGGGAATGCTAAGGGTTTTGAACTTTATTTCTAAGGGCGATGTGAAACTATTAAAGGGTTTCAGTAGGGGAGTGACTTGATTGGATATATATTTTTAAATATATGTATATTTATTTAAAAATATATATTTTAAAGGTCCTTGTGCCTGGTGTGTGGAAAATGAAGAATAGATTGAAAGGGAGCAGAAGTGCAGGCCCAAGATAGTTAAGGAGTTGGTCTAGATGGGAGATAATGATGGTTAATAGTTGGTTGCAGGCAGTAGGTAGGAGAGGGGAAAAGTGGATGGATTTAGGAGGGAATGGGTTATGTGGGTTTGTACCTCATAAGAAATATATCTGTGCTGGAAATACAGGTTTGGGAGTTATTGTCACATACACCATAATTGATATGATGGTAGTAGATTAGATAGTATAAAGCATGTAGTGAAAATAAAGGCGACCTAGGACAGACACCACCGTGTAAGAGTAGACTGAAGAGAAGCAGCCAGAGAAGTAGGAGGAAAGCCTGCTTTTGTTGTGTCATGCAAGGACGGGAGCATTTCAAAAAGGATGTGTTGGTCAGCAGTATAAGAGAACGGGCACAGGTTAAGAAGTCCTCTGATGAATGGTGTACACTTAAGTTCTCTCAGGACTTGGAGGCAATGAGGAGCAGACCTTGAACTTAGTATTGAAGGATGAGCAGGATTTGCTGTATAAACCAAGGAAAGAAAAAATTACATAGGCAGAGGGAGCAGCATGTACAAAAGGTGGCTTGACCAGGAGACCAGAATGACAAGACTCAGCTGAGGCTGGGTCTTATTTATGGACAAACTCAAGTGCCATTTCAAGGAGTTTGGACTTGATCTGTGGTTAACAGGGAGCCACTAAAAAGCTTGTAAGAAAAGGGATATCATTTGGTTAATATTTTAGAAAAGATGGCGTAGGCAGTGATCTTTGGACCTTTCTGACTGCAACCCACAGTATAAATTTCACCTGGTACACAGAGTAAGCAGTCTCTCTCTCTCCCCCTCTCTCTCTCTCTCTCTCTCTCTCTCTCTCTCTCTCTCTCTCTCTC